AGTCCTTTCCAGAATCAGTTTATTACAGGACTATTCAACACGTGGCCCACGGCCCGTGGTGCGGTTTGGGTTTATGTAGGGCTCAACTCGTGGCCCGTGGGTGGGAGCCAAAACAAAAAAGTGGTCTTTTGTTGAGATGCATTTTAGTAGTTAAATTCCTGGATTGTCATTGCTCATTAAAAGTGCTGTCATATGGGTGGAAACTGGGTAAATGTTGCATTTTATTAATATCAGCAGAACTGACTTAAATGGGGCCTGCATGTTGTGTCGTCTTGCCTTAATCTTTGTATTCATGCCCGTCAGTGTGAAAGAATCTATTTGCATGTATTTGCATATATATTTGCATGTATATGGAACCATACATAAATAATCGCCCTCGGCATGTGCTTTGAGTATCATTGTGGCTTCCGGAGCTTCCTAAGTGGAGTAGCCCTGGTTTATCAAGTAATAGCCCAATACCCAGGGGACCCAGAACTGAAGAAGAGACTTCAGTCTAGAACGGGGATGGGTAATAACATGGTGACAGTTCACCGGGATGAGCCAGGATGTATCCATGCTGCCTTATCCTGTGCTAAGGCCCTTTGAGCACCTAAGTCGAGAAGGTTTCCAGGTACTTCTCAATCAGCATTCATGCTATTGACAAGACACAATACGGGCTCAGGGAATGCTGGGGGGTGAGTAACAGAGGCTTCTAATGAACGGGGAGATGTTTTAATCACTCTCCACAACAAAACGGATCAAAGAATTAGAAATGGGCTAAGGAGACTTCTGCCGATAGGAGCTGAGTTTACTGCCCCCTTGTGAAGGCGGTTCCCCCACTCTGGCACATCAAGTGAAGAAGGTGGGAGTCCACAAGAGACTTAAAATTACTCTGCCCCTAAAGCAGGGGAGGAGAACCTTTTTCAGGTTGGAGCACAGACTAGTAGATTTCGTGTGTTCCAGTCCTATGGGCTCCCCAGTGCTGGGGGGGGAGCCCTGAGCCCTGGAGGGCCAGACCCAGGCAAGCCGAGGGGCACATCTGTCCCCTGGGCCTTAGTTTCCCTGCCCCTGCACTAAAGGTTTCCATTTAAAAACTCCTCCGGGTCACAGTTTCCCTGAGCTTGGCTTGTACGCTGTCACCATCCTAATGCAAAAACCCCTTTTGAGATCCCGGGAAGATGCACTTGAGTATTTCTTCCTGTGAAGAGCTTGAAAATGACCTGCAATTCCTAACAGCTGGCCTGGCAGTTTAGGCAGGTGCACACAGAACCCTTCTGGGACACAGGAATCACATTGTAGTCTTTAAAAAGGTGATTTTATTAACAAAGCAAAGAAGACAGACTTGGGAAAGCATTATTTGGTTGCTTGGTGTCACAGAGCAAATGAAAAAGGCAAGAGTTAAAAAACACAGACAATTGTTTCTCTGGGATTCATTTAAAAGTGTAAGGGAGGGGATGTAGCATGTGGGCTGAGCACAGAGAAGTCCAACAAACCCACTGTTAAAGAAAATAACTTGATCATGTCTAACTAAACATTCCCTATTCTACTGACGCCTCTGTGGCTCCAAGAATCATAGAATCATAGAATACAAGAACTGGAAGGGACCTTGAGAGGTCATCAAGTCCAGTCCCCTGCCCTCACAGCAGGACTAAGCACCATCTAGATCATGCCTGAGAGATGTCTGTCCAACCTGCTCTTAAATATCTCGAATGATGGAGATTCCAGAACCTCCTTAGACAATGTATTCCAATGTTTCACCATCCTGACAAGTAGAAATTTGTTCCTAATGTCCAACCTAAACTCCCCTTGCTGCAGTTTAAGCCCATTGCTTCTTTTCCTATCCTCAGAAGTCAAGGAGAAGAATCCCCCCCACCCCCGTGACACCCTTTTAGATACTTGAAAACCACTATCATGTTTCCTCTCAGTCTTCTTTCCAAACTAAACAAGCCCAATTCTTTCAGTCTTCCCTCCTAGCTCAAGTTCTCTAGACCTCTAATTATTCTTGTTGCTCTTCTCTGGACCTTCTCTAATTTCTCCACATCTTTCTTGAAATGTGGTGCCTAGAACTGGACACAATACTCCAGTTGAGGCCTACTCAACGCAGAGTAGAGCAGAATGACTTCTCGTGCCTTGCTCACAACGCTCCTGTTAATGCAGCCCAGAAGCATGTTTGCTTTTTTTTGCAACAACATCACACTGTTGACTCATATTTAGCTTGTGGTCCACTATGACCCTATGACATTACGACTGTAAGGTTTAGTCCTTCCCACGGTCTGGATGTTGCTGGAAGTCCCATACCTTGCTCCTGGCTGATAAAGAAAAGTTATTTATTAGTTCCCATAATAGAAGAACTAGAGGACACCAAATGAAATTAATGGGTAGCAGGTTTAAAACTAATAAAAGGAAGTTCTTCTTCACACAGCGTGTAGTCAACCTGTGGAACTCCTTGCCAGAGGAGGCTGTGAAGGCTAGGACTATAATAGAGTTTAAAGAGAAGCTGGATAAATTCATGGAGGTTAGGTCCATAAAAGGCTATTAGTCAGGGGATAAAATGGTGTCCTTGGCCTCTGTTTGTCAGAGGCTGGAGAGGGATGGCAGGAGACAAATTGCTTGATCATTGTCTTCAGTCAACCCTCTCTGGGGTACCTGGTGCTGGCCACTGTCGGTAGACAGGATACTGGGCTAGATGGATCTTTGGTCTGACCCAGTACGGCCGTTCTTATGTTCTTATGTTATAGAATAACTCATAACTCCAATTCGGCTCTGGGTGCACAAAGACTACCACAGAGGACCACTGCTTCCAATTTAAAACTCCACTCTCTGTTTTCATTGGCTCTCCGGGCTTCCTGCCAACACTTCCTGCTTCCCTAGCATCCCTGGAGACTCTCTGAGATGACAGCGCAGTTGGCCCCGTGTGTGAAAAGATTTGGGGGCTATCATGTCTGTTTCCAGTGTTTCGACAGTATGGGGCAGATTGGGGAGTTGCTGAGGGAGTGTCCGTACCTTGCTCTGTTTCCACAGGGGTGGCAAACTGGCTGGTTAGGTGACCCCAAAATGTGGGGGTGGGCTCGGGGCCTTTCCCCTTCTGGAAACGTACTGAAATGGAACCCAAGTGGAGAATAGCTTTAAAAGTTGTTCCTATTTCATGGCCTCATTATTAGGTCTCTTAGGGTGTGTCTAGACTACATGCCTCTGTCAACGGAGGCATGTAGATTAGCCAGATCGGCAGAGGGAAATTTAATCGCAGCTTCATTTAAATTTAAATGGCTTCTTCCCTCTCTCCCC